TATGGTGTGCCATATACACTTCCATACGATCCCAACCCAAAATGTGAAAATACTAATACGAAATCACAGCAGACAAAGCTTCAAGCCTACACCATTGTTCTTCGTATTGTTTTCTAAACGTGACTATTGTTTGTAGTAAATGTAGGAGTTTACATGTAAGTAGTTTGTATAATAATCTTGATAATACAAAGTCTGGGCGAGATAACACTGGTACCCCTCACTAGACCATCTAATTTGAAAATTGTTGGGATTAATGTTTATATATAAACCGTTTTCTTTCCATCCCGAGATTTATTCATATGTTTGCATTTGTGTAATGACCTTGATAGATATTATATCAACCTTAATATTTTCTTACAATTGGTATATGTTCAACAAGGGCATACTAAAATCTAGAACAATAGTACATGTCCCCAGGGGCGTATTATAATGTACAACAAGGGCCTATTACAATGTAGGGGCGTCTTACAATGTACCACAGGGTCATATCATTACAATGTTCACAGTAGTATGTTACCATGTACAAAGGGCCTGTTACAATGTACCACAGAGACGTATTACAATGTACCACAGGGGTCTGTTACAATGTACCACAGAGACGTTTCACAATGTACCACAGGGGTCTGTTACAATGTACCACAGAGACGTATTACAATGTACCACATGGGTCTGTTACAATGTACCACAGGGTCATATTATTACAATATTCACAGTAGTATGTTACCATGTACAAAGGGTCTGTTACAATGTACCACAGGGTCATATTATTACAATGTTCACAGTAGTATGTTATCATGTACAAAGGGCCTATTACAATGTACCACAGGGGTATGTTACAATGTACCACAGAGACGTATTACAATGTACCACAGGGGTCGGTTACAATGTACCACAGAGACGTATTACAATGTACCACAGGGGACTGTTACAATGTACCACAGAGACGTATTACAATGTACCTCAGGGGTCTGTTACAATGTACCACAGAGACGTATTACAATGTTCCACAGGGGTCTGTCACAATGTACCACAGAGACGTATTACAATGTACCTCAGGGGTCTGTTACAATGTACCACAGAGACGTATTACAGTGTACCAAAGGGGTCTGTTACAATGTACCACAGAGACGTTTCACAATGTACCACCGGGGTCTGTTACAATGTACCACAGAGACGTATTACAGTGTACCAAAGGGGTCTGTTACAATGTACCACAGAGACGTTTTTCAGTGTACCACAGGGGTCTGTTACAATGTACCACAGGGGTCTGTAAAATGTACCACAGAGACGTATTACAATGTACCACAGGGGTCTGTTACAATGCACCACAGAGACGTTTCACAATGTACCACAGGGGTCTGTTACAATGTACCACAGAGACGTATTAAAATGTTCACAGTGGCATGTTACCGTCCGTCAACAATTTTTTTCAAACGACTCCTTCTTAACCGCCTATTGGAATTTGACCAAATTTGACTGGTAGCATCCCTGGGTGGTTGGGATTCATAAAGGAGGAGCTGACCCCTGGTAGATGGGGCTAAAAAGGTGGATTTGGCCATACATTTTTTTGCGTCTTTTTCTCTGGAACTAAGAGATAGATACCAACTATATTTGGTTGGAGGCATTCTCAGATGGTGGGGATTCACAATTGTACAAATGGAGGGACTGGTCCTATGGGCGTGACCAAAATACAATTGATGGGTAAAAATGAGATAAAAGCAGTCATGAAATATAATTGTCTCTGGGGTCTGGCCCCACCCATAGGGACTTAATTCCTGGGCCATAACTTTGAAACAGTTGAGATCCATATATACCATTGCTAGGCATAAAGAGACGAACACAATCATGATACTAGAATCGACTCTGGAGTCTGACCCCATCCCTAGGGACTTAATTTCTGGGTCATAACTTTGAAACAGTCCAGATCCATTTATATACCATTGCTGAGCATAAAAAGAGACGAAAACTATCATGATATCAGAACTAATTTTGGGGTCTGGCCCCACCCCTAGGGATATACTTCTTTGGTAAAACTTTGATATGGTTGATATTTTTACCCCATAACCATATGTTTAATTGATGGGTTTCAAGAAATAAACACAGTCATGATATTACAATTGACATTTGGGTCTAGCCGCCGCCTCTAGAGACTTAATTCCTGGACCATAACTTTGAAACTATTGAGACCTCCATCCCATACCCATATATAATATTGCTAGGCATGGAGATCCAGGTGCGTGATACAGGCCATATATGCCTCTTGTTAATTAATATGACCACAAACAGAAAATAATAAATATCTGTATATCAAAACGGTATGGGGTTAGGAATGAAGACAAATTGTGTTAAGAAATTGCATTGACCTTTGACTTAAACACAATATGCTACAAAAAGATTCACACTGCTGGTCTACATATCTTGCCAAAGTAACATTGCTTTAGACGTTCTGGTTATTTTGAAAATGTTTAATGAAGTTTCTGACCTATTTGTCCACTGTAATCTTGAAGCAAGGTCATTGTCAATTTATATGAGAAAATGTATTGCTCTCCGTCCCAGATACCGACTCGCCAAATACAAGGACCTCAATGGGGTCTTCCCTTTTTCAAGAAGAAGTTAATCAAATAAAGCAGTTGATGGACGGACGCTGTATGTATCGATGTATTCTTAGTGCCTTATGCTCGGAACTGTATTACAGTGTACATTAAAACGGTGACCTCATTGGTGTGGCTCATGTTAAGACTTCTTCATGAGCAAATTTACCTAATGCTATTTTACTGATACATATGTAAGTTATTTTTATGTCACACATGACAAAAGGTGAAACGTGAACTGTGCTCACGGGGCTCTCTGTTCTAGTTTAGCTTATCGCTGTGGGGGCAGACGCGTCCTACTAACAGCGTATGTCATTTAAGGTCGTACCTCCATGTGGGTAGTGTATGCGTGCTTGCGTGTGCGTATGCAGGAGACGGGGTATGTTGTTGTGCATGCCTCATTGTGATAGCGCGGATCTGATGCCGACTTTTTAGTTCTATCTCATTGAAGTGCCATGCCGAACTACCACGAGACATTTTATCTAATACTATTCTACTGATAAGTTATCATTAAGTCAAACATGACAAAAGGTGAAAGTGAATTGTGCTCCATTTGTTGGTTCTAATCGGTCACGTAGTTCTTTCCTAATCTATCTTATCGCTGTCAAACGGTACAGATTTAAAGGCTTACCGGTACAGAATACACATGTGCCTGCGAATTTATACTCAATGTGAATTTAAGACATGGTGATATTTTCTTAATTCAAATTATACATTGGTGTGTTCGTTAATGGATACCTATGATAGCATATCAAACAAGCAAGGGTAATTTTGTCTAGTATGAATTTCATGTCTTAAAATTCTCATTGAGTCTTAATTCGTATTCCGTATTGGTAAACCTTTAAACAATCGCCCTGCTGTATCGTAGGAGGCGACTGATGCGGGAACCCACTGCAGATTTGGGGATTTGCTTTGGTGTCCTCTATTTAGGAACACAAAAGCGCCCAAAACAAATCTACTGCGCCCATTGCAATATTTGGGATCTTTATCTTTCTTTCAACTTCTAACTACCTTATATTTCCTAGCGCCTAATTTTTCTTAGTCCTGTTATCGTTTTTTGAAATCGTTGATATTCTCCTCAAACATATGCTTGCTTTGACATGAATAAAACAGCACAAGTATGCTACCAAGAGTAACTCATTGATCTGGCTCTGTACCTCAGTATTGAGTCTCTGCTCATATCGATCTCAACCAGATTTGCCTTGAAGCATTTTTTTGCACCAGAGACGGTGCTCCAACTGGGAAAATATTGCTTTTATCGAAGAAATATAATACATGTCTGATTTCAATGTAATGTTTACATCTGTCCCTTGTTTACATGCGTGTGCCGTGTGCGAGGTACACATATACATACTGTGTGTATGACTAACAAATGTGTACCTGGTGTATGATTCACATACATATTTATGTGTGCCGTGTTAACGGTTCCCCCATGTGTACTATGTGTATGGTTCACACATGTATACAGTGTGTATAGTCCAGTGGTCACTTGGTCGTGTATTGGTAATGATACTTCAACTTGATTTTCAAATATAGACATCTTTACACACCGTCATTTACTGTTCTTTTGAATATGATAAAACTCATAGACTTATCAACTTTGTATATTTTTAGTAAAGTATTGAGATCGCCTTTTGTCCGTCGTCGTCCGTCGTGCGTCCGTAAACAATTTACACTTTCGACTTCTTCTCCAAAACCCCTTAACCAATTTCAATGAAATTTTGCAGAAACGTTCCATGGCCAAAGGTCAACAAAAAATGTGAATTATATGGTCCCAAGCGGCCTGAGGGACGGGGCCAAAAAGGGTCAAATTGACTTAAATTTCAAAATCTTCTTCTCAAGACCAGATATGGTAGAATCAAATACTCTTCATAGATGGAAGGGTTTTAATGTGCTTTACCAAAATTATGAACTTTATGACCCTAGGGTCTCACGTTTACCCCTGGGGAAGAGGGGGGGGGGGGATTTTGTATCGTTTATAATGGCAAATGATACTTTGAATATTACGTGTTGATAACTTGATTGGAATTATAACCCTGAGTTGACAGTTTGAAACTTTGAAAATTTTGGGCCAGCCCTACCCCCACGGGCTGTAGGGCGGGGACCAAAGGAGTCAGTGTGCTAAAATTTCTTCAATTTCCTTGTTTAGAATCAGAGGTGATAGTTTCAAATACTTTTCAGTCTTAAATCTGTATACTAGATATTGAATAAGGTTTTATTGTTTTTTTGTCCATTTGAATAATATTTCTGTTCATGTTTTAAAAACAAAAATCAGCTCTCTGTATAAATATATCAGAACTCAGATGACCGTTAAGGCCCATGGGCCTCCTGTTTAATATTTGTTTTTAAGTATTAGTTGCAATACAAGGTGGACATATTAGTATGGAACAGAATCAGACTATGGTGGTATTTAATTTCAATGTTTTAACGTTTCACACAGATCGACATACGACATGATTGAACCAGAGGAAGAAAAGCAGGAGGGGCATACAGATATGTTACGGGACAAGTCTGTCGGCCGGGTGAGCGGACGAAAACTGTTACGGACGCCCAAGTGCGCCCGCTGTCGGAACCATGGAGTGGTGTCCTGTCTGAAGGGCCACAAACGATTCTGTAGGTGGCGTGACTGTCAGTGTCCAAACTGTCTCCTGGTGGTAGAACGGCAGCGCGTGATGGCGGCACAAGTAGCTCTCCGGAGGTACATTTATAGTTTTATTACCATAAGAGCAACTTCTTCCTAAACAAAAATATGCGTTTCGCATTACTGACTTAACAGACAATTTTGAACGCATTGTGTTTTACAAGTATCATTTCGATATTACTTCAAATGATTCGATACTTTATGTTGCAATGAGAGTTACAAATACAATATGTATTTAGCCTATATCACAGTATTAGTACAGACCAGAAACATTGTACATTTAGTGATGTTTGGACAAACGTTTGATTGAGTGGATAATTTACTTGGTTTTCCCTACTAGACATGTTGATATCTATTACGCTTTGTATAAGTTGCCAATTGCCCACACTCCCCTGTTGAAGTAGTGAGAAGGGCTCCTGACGGAGCATACGCCATGCAGCGCCCTTTCAGTGACTTTAATCAGCAGATATCGGGCGATCTACATAATTACACTTGTTCAGTTTACACATACCTCCTTCTACAAATAAATATCACCAATTCTCCAAACTTCGCGGCTTATGTTTCACGACCAAAGTTTACAGTACAGAAATTATATGCACGTGATATATTCGAGCACTGTTCCGGACCACCATACCGATGCCGGTCTGTTTTCTACACACGCGGCACCGTAACATCAATACAAATAAACAGGCAATCGACATCATACAGCATGGTATTGCTCGTTCATTTCTTAAGCTTTTATAAAAACGTGAAAAATTCATCCAAAAGCATTTATATGTGCTGAAGAAATGTATACAGTTACATTATTATCTTTGAGGCAGATTTTAAAACTGACACGAAGCTATCATCCCCTTCCCTGCTCGGTAAGCCTACTGTGTTACATGGTATCAATTTAATGTCTATTTACCTTTGCATGACGTTCCAATCAATATTGCTCCGGGCGTCCGGTCCCATGTTTAGATTCGACCTGGTAGGAATTAGAAAGTAACGAGACGTCAACATTGATAATCCTCGCCATATTGCATGCCGCTAGCGCGCTAATCCGCTGTAACAGGTGCGTGCTGTCCCATACTATTACTGAAATTTATTCTGAAATCAAGTTACGTTATTTTCATGATCTGTGTACTTTTTCATGCATGCCTCACTCATATTCCTGCTAACTTAAAGGACCCCGTAACACTGTCAAAAACTGTGACTAAGTACTGGCATGATTATAGCTTTATCTATTCTAAACAAAACACCACACACTTTGCAGGACTTAAACACTATATATAAATCATAAACAGAGTTCTGGGTGTTAAAGTTAAGCGGTGCTAGACAGGTATTCGAACTCTGGACTTCAGATTGTTATAATATTGGTCACTATTTAATCATATAGTAATTTTCTAGTCTGTGAGGTTTTCAGATTGTTTTGTCCTTGCACCATAGTACCCGCACTGTTACCCTGTCTGCGCTCTAATAATTAAAAACTTGATATACACCAAATCTCGTTACCAAACATCTTTTACTGTCAGACATCAAAACTCGTTACCAAACATCTTTTACTGACAGACATCAAATCTCGTTACCAAACATATTTTACTGATATACATCAAATCTCGTTACCAAACATATTTTACTGACAGACATAAAATCTCGTTACCAAACATATTTTACTGACAGACATCAAATCTCGTTACCAAACATATTTTACTGATATACATCAAATCTCGTTACCAAACATATTTTACTGACAGACATAAAATCTCGTTACCAAACATATTTTACTGACAGACATCAAATCTCGTTACCAAACATATTTTACTGATATACATCAAATCTCGTTACCAAACATATTTTACTGACAGACATAAAATCTCGTTACCAAACATATTTTACTGACAGACATCAAATCTCGTTACCAAACATATTTTACTGATATACATCAAATCTCGTTACCAAACATATTTTACTGACATACATCAAATCTCGTTACCAAACATATTTTACTGACAGACATCAAATCTCGTTACCAAACATATTTTACTGACAGACATCAAATCTCGTTACCAAACATATTTTACTGATATACATCAAATCTCGTTACCAAACATATTTTACTGATATACATCAAATCTCATTACCAAACATTTTCGGTATTTTTGTCCAATCATTTTATACTTGACAGACATCAAATCTCGTTATCAAACATCTTTTTGTTAATATTGTCCGATCATTTTATACTTGACAGACATCAAATCTCGTTATCAAACATCTTTTCGGTATTATCGTCCAATCATTTTATATTTGACAGACATCAAATCTCGTTATCAAACATCTTTTAGGTATTATCGTCTGATCGTTTATACTTGACAGACATCAAATCTCGTTTCCAAGCATCTTTTTGGTATTATCGTCCGATGATTTTATTTTATAGACATCAAGCCTCGGAGATGACAATCACTCTGAAGGACAAGGTGAAGACGGCCACCCAGATACTCCAACACCGGAAGCTGATACAGCGCAATCTCAGAAGTCTGCAGCAACACACATTGTCACGGGATGTACTGTCTAGTAAGTGTTAAGATCAAAAAAATAAATATTCAAAGTTAATTTTTGGTTATTTAAAAAAAAAAAAAAAAGACTTACTAACACTTAATTAAAGCCGACAAGTTGTCAATGTTAAAATTTGCTTGCACTCAAACCTACTCGTAAAAGCAAAATATTACATTGTACATTGCTCCTTATTATCAAATAAGTTGTTTTCACTTTGATTTACAGAATACAAAAACAAACAAACAATTTACAACGCTGATGAAAAGTACTTGCCTCCTATATTCAACGAACGCATGCGCAAGCGAAGATGTTTTGCCGACAAAGAGCTTGAGCTTGCAATGTACGAACATGAGAGACAACACGAAATCTTACAAACCAAAATAAACGTGAGTAATTCCTCCGGAACCGGAAGTTCTCTGACTGGATTTGTCGGGACGGATACCATAGACATGACAAGCACGGTGCCTAGTTCATCACGTGACGTCCTACAACAACTGTTTCCTTTCCACAGTTCGAGTGTTTTAGAACTTGTCTGGCAAGGTTGCCGTGGAAATATGAAGAAAGCCATTCAACAAATCGTATGCAACGTACCATGTATTAAATCATGTCACCCATCAGTTCCGGTGCCGGAGATTATTCACGACAGCGTGTTCTCTTTTGTCAAAGATTCTCATTTTACGAGACTAGAGCAGGAAAAGGACCCGAAAGTTGCCTATGGAGATCGGAATATAAGCTGGAGGCAACAAAGTGAGACGGACTGTAGCACAAAGAGAAAGGAATTGTCTCCCTTGGGGACAAAAAACACAACAGGACATGGAAAATCTGCAGTGTGTGCCACTCGTGAAGCAGCGGCATCGAAGCCGGGTAGACTTAAGTTTTCAGTGGCCGCTATCATAGGAGAATTATAGTACTCGGGTTTCTTTAAAAACAATGTTTTAGTCTACACATGTATTTAACTTCATATCACAGTTTGAGCGTCTCAGTCAGAGGACAATTATAGTGTATGTGTGTAAACATCATATTTTTGTATAGTAATAAGATTTTACATGTAAATCTATATATATAGTACGTTTTCGGTTTGGTGTTTTCCGTTTTATTTAAGGTTACATCAGAATTAAAATAGAGATGATGTTTTATGCGTGTATTACTCTTGTCAGTACCTAACAAAACGTTACAAATGTCGTGTAGGTGGCCCGATGTCGTTATAAAGTGTTTAAATGACATTTTATTGATGGTTCATGGACGTCATAGACATTGGGCATTGCTGTCATATAGATGGACTACTGACGTTATTGACTTCGTTCATTGACGTCATAAATACGGTTCATTGATAACTGTAAAAAGATTCATGTAGCACAACCAATAAGTGTTTCTATGTGACGTTTCGATGACTAGTACGGTATGTACTCTGTCACCTTCATCAGACAAATGACCAGTGATGTGTACGAGTTGCCCACATAAAGCGATGTCGATTCGGCTACGCTATAAGCGTATGTACAATGTACCGAAATGACTTGATTCGGCTACGTTTTGTGCAATACATGGTCATATATGTGCGAGAGTCTATGAGCCCCTCTTCTCGCTTTAGAACTGGCCCAAGGCGGACCCCAAATCGCCTTCCAGTATACGTATTTTGCAACGTTTTCTTTAGGTGTCTTATCCTTAACATGCACTAGAATATTACACTTATTGGTTGTGCTACATGAACATTTTCACAATCCATACTTACCAACCCGAATAAAATGTTCAGAAAAAGCCGATTCATTGACGTTTTAAAGGTGAATCATTGTCCTCACAGACTTGATTCATTGAGCCCATCCATGCCTGAAGAATACATTATAATTCTTTCCACAATTGAATGAAAGTGTTTTACGATTACGTTTAAGAACAAATTTGACTTTTTCGAAAGTATCACAAATTTGTATAAAACATAAATCGCTGAGGGATTGATTGACCGTTTTTTTCTATTGATTAGGGGTTGCTGTTACACTATCACCATTAAAACTAAACAAATACTAGGGACATCAAATCCAGCTGTGGTCAACCTCTTTAGATGCAAACAATCGAAAGAGATAACAAATTGGTAACCTATGACCTTATATAAAAAAAAATTGAACTTGACCTTCATATTGAAATCGAATCTTCCGAGTAAGTTCGATAAGATTTGTCTGTACATTTAGTATGGTGAAGGGAGAAAAGAAGGCCAGTGAGTAGGATGCGCTTGATGGTGTCCGTACGAAAATATTGACGAAAAGAAATATTTAAAGTCGCAGGGGTGAAATTTGTAAAACAGCTTATATGCTAAATATAGCATGCTGGTGTCGAGTATCAAACAGAAAAGAAACAATCACCGCCTTGCTGTCAAATAATCACGCATGCGCAGACGACCACTAGTTGCTCTGGTCCGACCAAATGAAATTGGTAGGTTGTACTATAGTGGCCAGACGTACGTGTGCGCACCGAAACTTCTTGTTTCTTTACACATGCGCAATGCACATAACTAAATTGAGTTCGTTCGTACTCTAGTTTGATCAAACTCGCCCTCCATTATCATAACACAGCTACCGAAGTAGGCTAGCAGTCTCTGATCAGAAGACTGTGAATCCGTACAGGTAGATGAAAGTGTAGTGTTAATACGTTACAATGTACAGTCGCTTAACGACAAAAACTACGTACCAGGCCAACAATCATCAGTTAGGGGAGCTTTGATTACACATCAGTGCATACTCCAGCACTTCTGTGTTTAAAACAGTAACAGTAACACAAGTAACACAAGGAAATCAGTAACAGTAACACAAGGAAAACAGTAACAGTAGCACAAGGAAAACAGTGACACAAGGAAAACGGTAACAGTAGCACAAGGAAAACAGTAACAGTAGCACAAGGAAAACAGTAACAGTAACACAAGGAAAACAGTAACAGTAGCACAAGGAAAACAGTAACAGTAACACAAGGAAAACAGTAACAGTAACACAAGGAAATCAGTAACAGTAACACAAGGAAAACAGTAATAGTAGCACAAGGAAAAAAGCAACAGTACCACAAGGAAAACAGTAACAGTTACACAAGGAAAACAGAAACAGTAGCACAAGTAGCACAAGCAAATCAGTTAGAGTAATACAAGGAAAACAGTAACAGTAACACAAGGAAGGAAAACAGTAACAGTAGCACAAGTAGCACAAGGAAATCAGTTAGAGTAATACAAGGAAAACAGTAACAGTAGCACAAGGGAAACAGTAACAGTAACACAAGGAAAACAGTAACAGTAACACAAGGCAAACAGTTACAGTAGCACAAGGAGCACAAGGAAAACAGTAGCAGTAGCACAAGGGAAACAGCAACAGTAACACAAGGCAAACAGTTACAGTAGCACAAGGAAAGCAGTAACAGTAACACAAGTAGCACAAGGTGATCAGTTAGAGTAATACGAGGAAAACAGTAACACAAGGTAAACAGTCACAGTAACACAAGGATAACAGTAACAGTAACATATTTTACTGATATACATCAAATCTCGTTACCAAACATATTTTACTGATATACATCAAATCTCGTTACCAAACATCTTTTACTGACAGACATAAAATCTCGTTACCAAACATCTTTTACTGACAGACATCAAATCTCGTTACCAAACATCTTTTACTGACAGACATAAAATCTCGATACCAAACATATTTTAATGAAAGAAAAAAAAAAAAAAAACAAAAACAAAGGGAAGGAAAACAGTAAGAATAACACAAGGAAAACATTAACAGTAACACAAGGATAACAGTAACAGTAACTCAAGGAAAACAGTAATAGTAGCACAAGGAAAGCAGTAACAGTAGCACAAGAAGCACAAGGAAAACGTACAGTACTACATCAAATCTCGTTACCAAACATATTTTAATGAAAGAAAAAAAAAAAAAAAAGGAAGGAAAAACAGTAACAGTATCACAAGGAAAACAGTAACAGGAGCACAAGGAAAACAGAAACAGTAACACAAGGCAAACAGTTACAGTAGCACAAGGAGCACAAGGAAAACAGTAGCAGTAGCACAAGGGAAACAGGAACAGTAACACAAGGCAAACAGTTACAGTAGCACAAGGAAAACTGTAACACAAGGAAAATAGTAACAGTTACTCATGGAAGGAAAACAGTAAGAATAACACAAGGAAAACATTAACAGTAACACAAGGTAAACAGTCACAGTAACACAAGGAAGGAGAACAGTAACAGTAGCACAAAGAAAACAGTAATAGTAGCACAAGGAAAAAAGTAACAGTACCACAAGGAAAACAGTAACGGTAACACAAGGAAGGAACATAGTAACAGTAACACACGGAAAACAGTAACAGAAGCACAAGGGAAACAATAACAGTAACACAAGTAGCACAAGGTGATCAGTTAGAGTAATGCAAGGAAAACAGTAACGGTAACACAAGGAAGGAGAACAGTAACAGTAACCCAAGGAAAACAGTAATAGTAGCACAAGGAAATTAGTAACAGTAACACATGGAAAACAGTAACAGCAGCACAAGGAAAACAGTAGCAGTAGCACAAGGGAAACAATAACAGTAACACAAGGCAAACAGTTACAGTAGCACAAGGAGCACAAGGAAAACAGTCACAGTAACACAAGGAGGGAAAACAGTAACAGAAACACAAGGGAAACAGCAACAGTAACACAAGGATAACAGTAACAGTAACCCAAGGAAAACAGTAACCAGACATCAAAACTCGTTACCAAACATATTTTAATGAAAGAAAAAAAAAAAAAAAAGGAAGGAAAAACAGTAACAGTATCACAAGGAAAACAGTAACCAGACATCAAAACTCGTTACCAAACATCTTTTACTGACAGACATAAAATCTCGTTACCAAACATCTTTTACTGACAGACATCAAATCTCGTTACCAAACATCTTTTACTGACAGACATAAAATCTCGATACCAAACATATTTTACTGATATACATCAAATCTCGTTACCAAACATCTTTTACTGACAGACATCAAATCTCGTTACCAAACATCTTTTACTGACAGACATCAAATCTCGTTACCAAACATCTTTTACTGACAGACATCAAATCTCGTTACCAAACATATTTTAATGAAAGAAAAAAAAAAAAAAACAAAAACAAAGGGAAGGAAAACAGTAACCAGACATCAAAACTCGTTACCAAACATATTTTAATGAAAGAAAAAAAAAAAAAAACAAAAACAAAGGGAAGGAAAACAGTAACGGTAACACAAGGAAGGGAAACAGTAACAGTAACACACGGAAATCAGTAACAGTAGCACAAGGAAAACGTACAGTAACACAAGGAAGGAAAACAGTAACAGTAGCACAAGGAAAACAGTAACAGTACCACAAGGAAATCAGTAACAGTAACACAAGGAAATCAGTAACAGTAGCACAACGAAAACGTACAGTAACACGAGGAAAACGTACAGTACCTATATCAACACAGGTGTACAGTTTTTATAACATTAATTATCATAAAACTACAATATTCCTACTTTCAATCACTTTAAACTGAGACATTTAAGTTTGTTCTAAACAATTATATTTTAATTTTGTTTTAAATGATGAAAGAAATAACAAATATGATACATTTTGTATGTGTTTTATAATTCCTCCCCGGCCGTACCGCTATTTATCCCTGTAATTATCGCTTCAAGTACTAATTAGTGCTCAAATCAACGGTCTACCAACTAATATCAAAGTTTTACTTTCTACAAAAACAACGTACGTATTCAAGTTCAAGTTCTTTATTACCTTTGGTCTTTTGACCCATCGGTTTCAAAAGTGAGATATATTTACAATATCTACAGACAATACAATACAATACATACAATACATACAATACAATACAATACAATACATACAATACAATACCAGCAATGTACAAACAGTATGGAGAGTGTAACTAATTAAGTTAATTGGTTTCTTCTTACATTTGCCGCTTTTATGTATTTGGCCAAATTGACCATTTCTTTGTGTTATTTACATTGAATAGATTTATCATTTTAAACATACTTGGTTTTTTTACAAAAACTTAACACGCAAATTAGAATAACATGGACATTTCAACATAAAATGAAACTCATCTTCAACATCATTCAAATTACATACAGTACACACTCTAAGACTACGCTCAATATTTTGATATCTACCTTTTTCTATATTTATATTATGAGCAGATAACCTACTTTCTGTAATCCCTTCAAATATTTCCCTTTGAAGATGTTCTTACGTTTTCTTTGCATTCTTGTCTATATATATCAATAAGTCTTTCTCTAATAACATTATAACACATATCATCATTTATTTCTGTTTCCCATATGTAACCAAGGCCAATTCTAAATAAATCATTTATATGTTTAAAACATAGTAGGATATATTATGTAACTACCACAGGGGAATGTAGTAGGATCCAGTATGTAACTACCACAGGGGACTGTAGTAGGATCTAGGAATAACTACCACAGGGGATTGTAGTATGATCCAGTATGTAAATACCACAGGGTATTGTAGTAGGATCTAGTAATAACTCCCACAGGGGATTGTAGTAGGATCTAGTAATAACTACCACGGGGGACTGTAGTAGGATCTAGGAATAACTCCCCCAGGGGACTGTAGTAGGATCTCGTAATAACTACCACAGGGGACTGTAGAAGGATCCAGTATGTAACTACAACAGGGGACTGTAGTAGGATCTAGGAATAACTACCACATGGGATTGTAGTAGGATCCAGTATGTAAATACGACAGGGGATTGTAGTAGGATCTAGTAATAACTCCCACAGGGGATTGTAGTAGGATCTAGGAATAACTACCGCAGGGGATTGTAGTAGGATCTAGTAATAACTAACACAGGGACTGTAGAAGGATCCAGTATGTAACTACAACAGGGGACTGTAGTAGGATCTAGGAATAACTCCCCCAGGGGACTGTAGTAGGATCTCGTAATAACTACCACAGGGGACTGTAGTAGGGTCTAGGAATAACTACCACAGGGGACTGTAGTAGGATCTAGTAATAACTACCACAGGGGACTGTAGTAGGATCCAGTATGTAAATACCGCAGGAGATTGTAGTAGGATCTAGTAATAACTACCACAGGGACTGTAGTAGGATCCAGTATGTAACTACAACAGGGGATTGTAGCAGGATCTAGTAATAGCTACCACATGGGACTGTAGTAGGATCTACCA